ATTTTTATTGCCAATTACACTGAGGTGGCTTAGCTCTTGAACTTTTCATCTTAAAAAATGAGGAATTTAAAATCGTACTTTTCAATTTCAAAATTTGTGTTAAATGTAATTATTATTCGAGTGAAATGATTAGTAATTATGGATTTGCATTTTGCATAAATTTCCATAACTTTATTCAATCAATCCATCAATCAATAATCGATCAGTTAAATTTTTTATCAGTTACACTTATTCATATATCAGAGCTTTCGGCATCAATTTTTAGATATTTCAGCATTGGTGTTGAAGAAGAAAGTCCACGTTGAATTTGTTGACTTGGAAATAATCTGCGTGTGGTAGAACTCTTTGGTTGAATTTTAGGCTTCTGAATCATTTTTGGATCATTTGATTTCGTGAATTGCTTTGCAGCTTGCTCAAACATTTGAGCTCGTTGTTTGACAGTCAACTTTTCGTTAATCGAACACTGATCAGATTTGGAACTATCACTTCTAACTTTACTGTTCTTAATATTATTACGTTGTCGTTGTTTTGCTTCTTCTACTTCTTGTTGTTGAAGTTCTTTTTGAAACTGTATAATTGGTTGTAATCTAGCTTGCAACCGAGTTCTCAAGCTTTGACTTGCAGATTCGGACATGCATTGTCTATTAGGATTTAATCTAAAACTTAAATGATGACAGCTTCATTTTTGTAAAATTTTGATGCTTGTCTCATCTGAATTACTACCTGAAAATTACGTACTTTGAAGTCAAAGTTACTTGCCTGAAATGAAATCATCAAAGTTCAGAATTATTTTGTAGTGTGATAATCAATTCAGCATTAATTAAGAATTTAGGAATAACTCAATTTGCTGTGTTTGATATCATACTTTTCAATTATCTCAGGGATATTTGAATTCATCCTGACCCGACCTAATGGCTTTGGAGTTCTACCTGGACTTGACCTGAAAATCAATAATCAAAATTTTTTGCGTCAAATGTGAATTTCGCAAGGAAAAAGAAATTCTTTGATTCATTACAAAAATAGCAATAATTTTGGCTGCACACAAAACTTTGAAAAATGACTGACTTTTTTAAACCAAAATTTTACAACTCTTACATGCTTATTGAAGAAGAACAGCTTTTCTATTAACCTTTTAACCTTTTTTCGATTTCGTCTAAAATCAATACTTCTTTTTGACATTTCTTTACTCTGTGTTAGTATTTCTTCTCCAAAAAGGAAGAAAGTTAAAGTCGAGAAAACTACTCTCGACGGGTAATTAGTTTGTATGAATTTGATAAAAATGACGCAAATGAAAAAAATTTTAAATTATATTGACTATAAAAATGCAAATTTAATAATGCATATGCAAGTAATCGATTATTTTAAAGTAAAAGTTTCACGTGCGTAGCTGTTTGGTAATTATTACTCCGTGAAAATTTACAAAGCATTAAAATGCTGTGAACTTGAATTTGACAAAATTTTTGAAATGTTTTGTGCTCAAAATAAGAAAAAATTTAGATTGTGTAATTTTTCATTCATACTGGCAAATCAAATATGTGCGTAAAATTCGACTTTATAATGTATTGAAATTTTTAGCATAGCGTAATTTCAGGAAAATTTATTTTGAACTAAAATATGATTTTTAAGTTATTATTATTCAGTAAGCAAAAAAATATACTTCACAGCAAATTTTAAAAGTTAAAACTTGAAAATATGTATAAAAAGTGAAAAACATTTTTTTAAAATTAAACTTTAAATTAAAAGAAAAATGATATACTCAATAATTTTTTCCATTTTGAATAAAAATGATAAAAAATTGGAAAATTTTGAAAACAAAATTTATTTACAGTAGAATTGCCCCAACAAATCACTGTTGTTTGATAAAAAATACAAGCACTTGCATAATTAATGACTACAAAATTGTTATCCTATAGGAAATTTGCATAAAAAAAAGGTGTTTTATTGTTATCAGAAAATTGATGCTTTACTCAATAATTAACAATATTATTAATAGAATTCCGGCAGAATCTTAAACTCTATCAGTTATTATGCACATGCTTACAATTTACAAAAACTAAAAATAATTTAGCAAAATTTG